GTGTGGACGTCAACTCCCAAGATTCCTCAGCCAGCCATGCTGGGGAATTCTGGGAATGCTAACTGGGGAATTTGGGGGATTCAAATCCACACAGCTTGCCAAAATTGAGAATCCTGCTTTAGAGTAAATGTGCTGAATTGTGCTTCTTTGTTATTTATCTTTGTTGCAGTTCGATGGGGAAGAATATTGAGGAGAGGGGATTTTGGATCACCAGTGGCAAAATAATAGCTAGCTACAGCGGTAGGCAACCTTGGCTCTTTTATGACTCGTGGACTTCAATTCCCAGAATTCCTGAGCCAGCATGGCTCAGCTTGGAAACCTCTCCCTTTCCCCTCAGCATGGCTGGCTCAGGAATTCTGGGAGTTAGAGTCCACGAGTCATAAAAGGTTGCCTACCCCTGAGCTAGCAAAATCTCTCCTTGCTAAAAGGAACAGCCAGAGGCAAATGTCTTCCAAAAATGGAAATGTCTTCTAACTTGTGTGCCATTTGGCCCTTAACCTCTGCTTTAAGATAATATTGACTCTGCCTTGCTGCCCCCTCCCAAAAAGAGGAACAACCCACCCACCCCATTCCACTTTGACCCTCCATAGCCTCATGACACAGCAGTGAAATGTTCCATGGTAGCCTTTAGGATAGTGAAAGGATCCTGCATTAGAAATTGATAGCCAGCTGATACACACACACACACACACACACACACACAGAGAGAGAGAGAGAGAGAGAGAGAGAGAGAGAGAGAGAGAGAGAGAGAGAAGGAGGAGGAGGAGGAGGAGGAGGACTGGTTGAGCTGCAAATGAGAACTTTGGAACAAAGTTCTTTCGAAAAGGAGAAGTTGGAGAAAGAGGATCCCTGGCCACACTAGATGATTGGGTTACAAAAGTAGGTCATCGTTGGGTCCACAAAGGCACCATTCACTTGGAGGAGAAGGGCGGCGTTATAGGTTCAGATGCGGAGTTATTTTCATGTTTGCTGCTGCCCGTTTTGGCTGGAAACTCTGAGACAGCGGTACAGTGTAAACAACTTTGCAGTGGAAAGCATTGAAAGCTCGGGTCCAAAACTCTCGAGAGACACCAATAAGGGGGTGATGGGGGGGGGAGGCATGCTGCCAGCAATGAGTTCAGGTTCCCCGTTAGTTTTTACTTGTGCTACCAAAGTTTCATTTAGAAAAGCTGCATTATAGAGCGGAGTTATAAGTTTCAGTAATAGCAGTTGCCGGGTTCCGTTCACCAGCCTTTTACAGCCAGCTGTGGGGTTTTTTTTTTCCTAACCATTTCTTCCGCCATGGGGATGGCCACATGACCGCTGATTTTACTTTCAAGCTTTAAAAAAGACCCCTCCTGTCTATTCAAGGTAGAAAATTTGAAAACATTTGCTAACCGGGGTGCATTTCCTGCAATTACATCTGCAACCGAACACAGAGGCCAGAAATAGACAATAAAGTTGTTTTCAGAT